TACAGGAGTTCCTTGGGTTTGTCAACTTCAACCGACGCTTCATCAAGGATTACTCACTCAAGGCCTTGCCGCTCACAAAGCTTACGCGGAAGGACACACCATTCAAGTGGGAACAAGAGCAGGATGATGCGTTTGAGTCACTCAAGACAGCATGCATCGAACCACCCACGTTGGTTACATTCAGGAGCAATGAGCCTCTTAGAATGGAGACAGATGCCTCAGATTTGGCGCTAGGAGCATGCATTACACAAGAACGAGATGGACAATGGCACCCTATCGCCTACTACTCACGCAAGTTCTCAGGACCAGAAGAAAGATACGATGTACATGACAAGGAACTTCTTGCAATTGTATCTGCCCTGGAACATTGGAGAGTATACGCTGAAAGCTGTTCGGAGCTCACGATATACACCGACCACAAGAACCTGGTACACTTTACGACAACCAAGGTATTGAACCGACGACAAGTTCGATGGTCTGAGACACTCGGACAGTACAAGTTCAAGATCCTCTACACACCAGGAAAGGACAACGGTAGAGCCGACGCACTCAGTAGACGACATGATCTTGCAGGATCAAAGACGATTAACGAATCAGCCATTCTCGGAATCAATAAGGATGGGTCTTTAGGACCATCACAGCAGCTCAATAACACGATGCAAGTTCAGAACGAACGGCGCATACCGTTGCACGTACCAGAAGAACTTCAAGAGGAAGTTATAGCGAGTCATCACGATGACCCACTCCACGGACACCCTGGAATCACGCGGACGATGGAACTCATCAGACGGCACTATGAGTTCGAGAACATGAAAGACAAGGTCACCAAGTATATTAAGAACTGTGTTGATTGTCAACAGAACAAACACAGCACGCACACCAAGTATGGAGAAATGCAAGCAATGGAACCGCCTGCAGCACCATGGACAAACATCACGATGGACTTCGTCACACAGCTACCAATCTCCAAGGACCCTGTCACAGGATACGCCTACGACTCAATTTTTGTCGTAGTGGACAGATTTACAAAAGCCGCCGAGATGATACCGTTTCGACACAGCTACACGGCAGAGCAGCTCGCACGCGTGTTCCTGGACAGAGTAATTCGATATCACGGCATACCAGAATCAATCATCAGCGACAGAGATAAGCTCTTCACGTCAAACTATTGGACCACGCTACTCGCAGCTATTGGTACCAAGAAGAAGCTTTCTACCGCCTATCATCCACAAACGGACAGACAGACTGAAAGAACAAATCAGACTATGGAAACATACCTACGGATATACAGTAACCAGCAGCAAGACAACTGGGTTTCACTGTTACCTATGGCACAGATTGCATACAACAACAAGCTATCGGAAGCAACAGGCACGATGCCGTTCTTTGCGAATCACGGACGACATCCAAATCTCTTTACCAGATCTCTTGACAGTAATATCCAAACGGAATCAGCAATATCCTCAGTCGAGGCACTGAAGAAAGTACACCAAAAATCGCTTGAGAACATCACCAAGGCTCAGACACGAGCAATCTCATATGTCAACCAGAAAAGAAAAACGGCACCTCAGCTAAAGAAGGGGGATAAAGTATATCTCCTCACAAAAAACTTACGCACAC